ACCGCGAACAAAGAAACCGCGAACCCAAACCGCGAACAAAGAAACCGCGAACCCAAACCGCGAACAAAGAAACCGCGAGCACAAACCGCGAACAAAAAAACCACGAGCCCAAACCGCAAACCGAAACCGCGAACCCAAACCGCGAACAAAAAAACCACGAGCCCAAACCGCGAACCCCAACCGCGATCCGAAACCGCGAACAAAATAACCGCGAGCCCAAACCGCGAACCCAAACCGCGAGCCCAAACCGCGAACCCAAACCGCGAACAAAGAAACCGCGAACCCAAACCGCGAACAAAGAAACCGACCGAAACCGCGAACAAAAAAACCGCGAGCCCAAACCGCGAACCGAAACCGCGAACCCAAACCGCGAGCCCAAACCGCGAACCGAAACCGCGAACCCAAACCGCGAACAAAAAAACCGCGAGCCCAAACCGCGAACCGAAACCGCGAACCCAAACCGCGAACAAAAAAACCGCGAGCCCAAACCGCGAACCGAAACCGCGAGCCCAAACCGCGAACCGAAACCGCGAACCCAAACCGCGAGCCCAAACCGCGAACCGAAACCGCGATCCCAAACCGCGAACAAAAACTGTTTTAAACGAACTGTTTTTCGTCCAATAGCACATCGTAAATCATACTCAGGTAATCGGTACCACCAATAGATTCAACACGGAAAGGGAAATAAACTTTTTCCTAATTAAAGTCGTCCGTTATTGGACGTCGTTAAACAGTTCCCGTGCGGTTATTATAAACATTTCGAAAAAAATTTAATAGAAAAATCGCTTCAGAATAATGTATCCCAACCGTATAATGGCTGATGCCGAAGATACGGGACACCTGTATATTTTGGCTATAGCGACACTCCGTTCCCCGTATTAATCCGTTATATCGACGTATTGCTATATTAACTTTAAATTTGATAATTACCTTCAAGAAATCAACGTTTTTTTTTTGTTAATTAAATTTCAAATTGCACGTGCAATTCAGTTAGTGACTGAATATCTGTACGTGACAATTGTTTTGTTAAAATCACTTTCCACATGGTTGAAGGGTGAGGAAATCGTCGTGAAACGGAAGCGCATGCCCGTCATCTAGCACGAGATTCTTTCGCACATGTTCGCATTCTCCTATCCAATGGATTTGCGTACGCGATTGCAATCACGTTGGGGATTCACGTGAAATCGTGCGAGTTACTCCTCCTATCTATCGGGTAATTCATTTTTTATTAAACACGATCGTTTCATCGGTGGTTCGCAGTTCAACAGCAACATCGTTCAACGTTTAATCGTTTTTATAAAATTGATGACTGTAAAATTTTTTTTCTATTTTATTTGAAGAGATTGAAAAAGGTTTAAAAAAAAAGAAAGGTGAGTTAATTATTGCTGTTTATTAAGTTTAGTTTTATTTTATATTACAAAATGATTATTATTTCAAAAAGATATTGATTAAAGTTTAATGATTGTTATTTTTACATTCCTTTTTTTAATTATATAACAAATAATTATATTTAATTATCAACATATTTTCCTATATGTTTTGAACATTTTTCTTCTGAAATCCTTCTATTGATTCACTTCATCTAAAAATAAAATCTTTTAGCTTTAAATTCAGATATAATCGTTTCTTCCCTTAAATATAAACTTGGGGGTGATCTTTTTCATAATTTTTTTTTATTAGGGTTATTTTTATCTTTACACTGTCAAATCCAGATTTTCAGATTTTGTTTCGCAATTACGTTCTCATTTAAAATCATGTAATCCTTAAATCATTTTTTGCATAATAATTTAGTAATTTTCTTTAATTAATCAGTGAATCAAACTCTAAAGATAAAATTGGAACGACTTTTAGAGGTTCTTTTAAAATTTTAATTAATTAAATTTAATTCAATTTGTTCTAAACAATTAATTTAAGAAGAAATTTCCGTAAAGAAAATCTGATTCTTTTTTTGACATTTTTATAACCTCTCCAACTTAATTCAAACGACATTTTGACAGGTACTGTCAAACGTGATGGAAAAATTTCAACAAATATTTTATTCACAAAGAATATAATCGATTTTACTTTTGCTCAATTTTGTGTGACTTTAAAGCGTTTTAAACGATTTTATTATTATTTTATTATAATAATAATATATGCCACATTGCTATTCTTTAATTATTCCTTATTTATTAATTAGAAATTTATTAATTTGAAATATAACGACATTACTGGACATGTGCCATTGCATTTGACGAGTAACGGACGCGTCGCGTCGGATCGCTTGTTGGAACAAAGCTAATATTAAAATCAATATTTTTATTTTCTTATTTATAATAAAATTGTATTATTTTCTTTTTGTTTAAGATAATAATAAATGAAAGAATATAAAACACAATAAAAAAATGGCTTGGATAAGCTCCACTCCACAACTTTATAATACATTCGCTTCTTTAGGTGTTAAAAAAGGAGATTCGTTCAACGTCAGTAATGATTGTTTAAGTAAGAATTAAGCAAACATTAATAAGACCGTTTTAACACTCAAATTTTAGATATATTGGAAGAAATTCTTCGAAAACTCGCATTAGAAGATCAAACGTTAAGAACGTTTCGTAGAGCAATTGGTTTTGGTCAAAACATCAAAAAAGATTTGATTCCTCTTTTAATTTACATTAAAGATGATACTCAAATCAATGATGCCACGAAGATAATTGACACAACAATTAAAATTTTAGTAAATTTAACTATTCCCGTTGAATGTCTTCTTTCGATCGAAGCCGTTTCAAGAACGGATGTTGGAAGGCATACAATTTTTGAATTGAATCGGTTATTAACTACGAGTAAGGAAGCTTTCACCGATAGCAGAAGCACAAAAGCTGTTATGGATCATATGAAACACGTCGTAGAAAAAGATTCTAATCTAAATGTGCAACAATGTGACAGTATTAATAATTGCTTATTGTTATTAAGAAATATTTTACATATTCCTGAGAATCGTACTCAAATCACTAATTGTCCTTTAGCGCACTCTAGTATGCAAAATGAAATTATATGGAATTTATTTACCCAAAGTATCGATAAAATAATTATTTATTTAATGTCTTGTCCTCAAAAGGTAAAAATTAAAATTTCCAAATTAATATTTAATTTTAATTTTATTTTTTTTCTGTGTGAAGATGTATTGGGGTGTAACAATGGTACAATTAATCGCCTTAATGTATAAAGATCAACATGTAGGAACATTACAAAAACTATTAAACATATGGTTGGAAGCTTCGCTAAGCGAAAGCAGTGAAGATAACGAAAGTAACACTTCACCCCCAGATCAAGGAAGTGGAGATTCTTCGCCGATTATTACGTCAGATCCTACTTCTGATTCGAGTGATAATGGGGGAAGCGGGAAAAGTATTGAAAATAGAAATAAAACTGTTAACAATTCAGACCCGATGAGAAATAAAGCTACGACGGAAGTTGTTCGTGCTGCTCAAAACAGAAGTAAAGCGTTAGTTTGTATGAAGAGGGGGAAAAGTACTGAAACTGATGGAAGTAGTAGTAGTGGAATGTCTTCTTTGAATCAAAGTACAGAATCTAATGGAACTACATCAAAGGTAACCATAAAATAATAATATTGTTAGACACATGTTTAGTGACATGAAAATAAATTATTAAAGAATTTTTCCTTTTTTTTAAGGCGTCTTCCTCAATTTCCCCACAATCCCAATCATCATCAAATACAACCGATAAATCAGACCTACAATCGACAACAACGCCTGGAGGTTCAAAAAAATGTCCATCATCCCAAAGTGAAGTTTCCGATTGTGGCTACGTGACTCAGGTGGAAAATCAAGAATCCATTTCCACCTCAAGCAATGATGATGATCAGCCCAGTCAGAAACCTGTCCATCAAAAACCGCATACGTTTCAAAAAACTAGATACAGTACACAAAAAAATCGAGCGGCCACCGTTTTAGAAAAGAAAGAATTGAGACGAAAGAAATTAGTTAAAAGGAGCAAAACTAATATGTATAATATTATTTTTTGTTATCCTCATTTTGTTACGAAATTGTTTTTAGTATAAATATGAAAGGATTGATGCATCATACCCCAACAGACGAAGACGTTTCAAATATTTTGAAAGAATTTACAGTTGATTTTTTATTGAAAGGTTATGGAAGTTTAGTTCACGATTTACATTCGCAATTATTGAGTAACATTCACGTTCAGATCGATACGTCACATTTCTTTTGGTTGGTGACTTATTTTCTAAAGTTTGCCACTCAATTAGAATTGGATTTAGAGCACATCAGTCCGGTTCTTTCATATGATATCCTTTCCTATTTAACATTTCAAGGAGTGTGGCTGTATGAGGAATTGGAGATAAGCTACAACATACCAGATATCGATCTTAAACCGTGTTTAAGAAGGTTACATTTGGTAATAAAAAATTCACTGATGTTTTTAATTTTTAAAAATATTTAATTAATTGCTTTCTTTTAGGTTGTAACAGCTATAAGAGAATTTATACAAGCAGTCGAAACTTATTTAAAGTTGTTGCATGTAAGTGAAGAAGATAAAGTAGAATTGACAAAGTTACAAAAGCAAATTAGTAAAACTGAAGATTTAAAAAGTTTATTTTTATTGCTGTTACGACAATATAATCCGTTGATACAAAGTAAACAGTATCTCCAAGATTTGATAGTGACAAATCATAATTTTCTGTTATTTTTGGATAACGTATCAAAATTGGAGAACAGACCAGCAACAAATATCGTGGAACATCTTAAACAGTAAGCCAATACTTTTCATCCGTTTTAAGTTTTTCCCTAAAAATAAAAAAACCACAAGAAAAACTTGCATGGCTTGCAGTTGAATGTCAATTTACTTAAAAAAATATTTTCCGTTCTTAAAGCTTAATCCGAGGTACGTAAATCGATCCATTTTTTTTTTTTGATGTTTTTCAACATCACTTTTTTTTAAACAGAAAGTTTGGGTTGATTTCAGTGAAATTTAATTAAATCCAACCACATCATTTTGTAAGTATACACTCGATAATGAGCCATACAACGAGGTCGATTATTACTCAAAATTAAAAAAAATATATATAATCTCAAAAAAAGAACTCCTTTTCCATTCCCGAATATGAATAATGCGGTTCGAAATGCGAATGTTTCAGATTCGCGACAATTGATATCATGCGCCAATACGGTTTATTATTGGAAGATTTCAAGGAGAACGGCGAGTTTGTCAATAATTGTGTCTTTACGATGATGCACCACATCGGTGGTGACTTGGAACACGTGTCAACTCTGTTTCAGCCCAGCATACTCAAAACATTTTCGCTGATATGGGAAACCGATTACGAAATTTGTGACGTATGAACAATAAAAAGCGCTGCTTCTTCAGCAAATTCCCCTACAAAAAGCAGGTTATAAGGGGTGTCCACTTTTAGGACTGGTCCGATCTCATCGAGTACGTGATTCATAAATTTATCAACACGCCCAGAACGAATCACTGCTCGGCCGTTCATTCTTCAACAACCGTCAGTCCTTCCGGTGATAAAGAAGATCAAATTTCTACACCTGCTGTTTCCACACAATGTTCAGAATATCTGTAAGTTTTTTCTGAATGATAATAGTTTCATATAATTCGCAATATACAGGATGACACATAAAAAACGCCCCAAGCTGTAACTCTGTCATTTACATTCCGATTTTCATGAGTGAGGTATATTCCATATAAATCAATACCATTTTTTAGCTGGACTCAAGAAGAAAAAGATGATTTAATAAAATATTACAACGAAAATAGAAATACTCCGGACGCTATAGCAAATATAACGAAACAATACGAACAAAATGGGATAAGAATTAAATCACAACATGCGATTATAATAGAATTGTTGGGTCAAAATATTATCAATCAAAGTCAATATGAAGAATTTATACGAGTCAAACGAGATTGTGGGGAGAAAAATGAAAAGGAAATTTTAAGTACTAATAATAGAGTGTTGACACAAAAAGAAAGAAATTGTGTTAACGGTGATATTAAAGTCTTAAAAGAATTCATTTATAAGGAGAATAAAGGAAGATTAATTGTTTGGTTACAAAAAGTTGTGATTGAAGCGTGTTATGTTAAGTTGTGTTTAAATAATGATGAACCGAGAGATGTTGATTGTGTTATGGAACCAACTGTTTATTATCATGCTTGTAATACTGACATATCATATTTATTGAAACAATTTTTAAATATAATTTTTTTTAGATTTAAATTTACCAATTCCTGTTGTTCCATGGACGTTAGAACAACAAAACATATTAAAACATCAACCTTTTATTTTACTTTTACATAAATTAGGATTTTACCTTCCATCCGATACAGGAAAAATTTTCGTACGTATCCCAAATTTTTGGACGGCTGATTATTTGTTTAGCATCGCCCAACAGTTAGGTCCAATAGATAATGGTAAGTTTCATTTTAGTTTTAGTAAGTCAAAATTTAAAGAAGATCAAAGAAATTGATTAGATTCAAAATACAAAATGATTTGTTTCATTGTGTAAAGAGAATTAAACATTTTTTTGATATATTTCAGCAACTCTTAAATTTGATATAAATATTCTAGACGGATTTAGTAATAAAACCGAACCTACAAAGGAAATGTCAAACATCGTAGCTACGTCTGCTAGCCAATGTATGTTTTCTACCACCGAACATAAACAAACACCTTCAATAGTTAGATACACACCTTTGTAAGATATTTTTTTAATTTTAATCAACATTATTTCAATGTTTTTATTTTAAAGACCAAATTCAACCGAGTGGATTCAAAACATACTAAAAACAAAAGTGACGCCTTTAATGAATACATCTTTAGGTCTCCTGCCTAGTAACAATAATGAATTATCAATTACGATACCGGAAATAGAACCACTTTGTTGTAATCTTCCACCACCGGAATTAAGAATAGCTCCGTTATTATCAGAACAATTAGAAATGGATATATCACCGATTCAAGAATCAAGTGTTATTCATGAAGATGGCGAACATAATAGTATATATGAAACCGCTTCCGTTGCTTCAGATTTAACCAGAATGTGCGTAAGTGATGAAGATGAAAAATTAGACTTTCTACAACAATCCGATCATTAAATTAAAAAATAAAAAAGACGTTTTTAGATGTTTTATTTGGAGGGTTGTTTGATGTTTTTAAGTGTTTGTAGTAAATAAAGTTTTTAATTTGTTTCCGTTTCGGATTGTTCTGAAAAAGAAATTTGTATATTTATACAGTTTTTTAATTAACAATAAGAAATTATTTATGAAAAATACGTTCTAAGTATTGCTGTGATGATGTTATTTGTTGTTTAAATTAATTGTATTTGTTATGAAAAAAAGGATGTGTGTTCTACCTCAAGAATTTTATGTAAAAAACGAAAATTATTATGTTGAGTGTATTTTGTAAGGATTTTAAATTGGGATGAATAAAAATATCTTAAATAATTTTCTTTTGTAGTTTTAGTATTAAAAAAACAACAAAATAATCAAAAGAATAATATTTATGTTGTCTTCAAAACGCGTATATAAGATAAATAAACGTACTTCCAATAATACAAAATCGAAAATTATATAGTAAAGGTAGATAATAAAAAAAGTTTTTTTTTCTCCTAGGTCTCCTTAGTTTTTTTCAATCTTTCTTCTTCCTTTTCGTCTAAGTAAAAAGTTCAACCAATCTTAGATTTTTTTTATTTATCTTTTGTAACCATAAACTCACTGTCACTGATTTTCTTCTTCCAATACCGATTCGTCTTTTGCAATTCTTCCGTCATACTTTCAACTCTTTGTATCCAAACTGCCGTGCCTGGTTCATCGTAAGGGGTAGTCGTTGTTTCCGAGGCCTAATAAATAAAAGAATTCGTAAATATCTTTCTTGGTAAATTAATTAATAAGCATTTAGTACATCCATATCGAACCAATCCGCCGAATCGCTGCAAATACTACTTCTTGGGCTATCCTCGGTGTCGGAACCTTTCGAATTTAAACTCCACACTCGCTGAGGCGATGAAAGCCTTTTATACACATTCATTCCGCTTAAATTTCGGGATGAAATCGCTGTTGTTCCACCGCGTTGTCTACGATTTAGGGCTTCCGCGCAAACTGGAGGTAAAGATTTTTTTAATGGAGGTCGACTAAAAAAATAATCAAATAATTTTATCAATCAATAAATAATAATTCCTATTGTTGACTTATGCAGATACCCAACATGCCTATACCGGGAATTTCATATAACTCGCAATATAAGAATGCAGTAACCATAGTTACGAAACTACTATGTACATTGCACTGTCCCACATAAAATGCAACATAGCTTAATAGTACAGGCATTGGGTACGTCCTTATAACTCTTAATTTCCGTCTTAAGAGACGTACGGCTTCATTGCAATATCGTGATATCTTATGCTAACTAGCACTACCTACCACTGTCACTAGAACTAACATTAGCCCTAGAAGTAGAAACATTCAGCTTTAGCCGTCTTAAGAGACGCACGGCTATAATTTATATTTTTATTGAGCTATAACGGACAGCGCGTTTCCCGTATTGATCCGTTATATCAAGCTTTTAGTGTAATGTCAAATAATTATATTGACGGGTTGCATTTTATGTGGAACAAAGTAAGTAGGTTTCTATGTAAATATATTTTTGTACATTACATCTTAAGTGAAATTCACTGTATCATATTTTGTGTATATACATTTTAATGTAATTAACTTACATTGGACTTGAAGAACTTTGTTGATACTTAATAATAAGTGCATTCTTTTTAACAAGCTTATCTTTTAATTGATCATTAAGCCGTTTTTGTTCCTCCAACCAAGCACGCACATTACAAATAACATGTTGACTTTCCCGCCGAATTTCATCCCTATCGGATTTAATATCATTAATTTCTTCCTCCAAAGTCATAACGTTTTCACACCGACACCTCAACAAAGACTGCATTTTATCCAATTCTTGTAACAGTTTTTCATTTTTTTGCTCAACGAAATATTTATCCGACTCGATTTTCTTCAAATCACACATACACTTATCCAATTGTTTTTTAATAGTGATATTTAAAGATTCATGTTGACCCAACGTCGATTGTAACGAACAAACGGTTTGATGTAGATTTTCATTTTCTATTTGTAATTTTTCGTTTATTTGTCTTAAACAATTTATTTCATTTTTAGCGGTTATTAATTCTTCTTGAGTCATTTGCATTCTCATTTGAGCATCGTTAGTAACTTGTTGCAGTTTGCTTTTGGTTGAATCAATTTGGTGCGTTCTTCCAGCCAATTCGTTGTGAACGGCGCGTAATTGTTGTTCTAATTGAGATATCTGCTCCATCAAACGCGTTTCTTTAACTTTCCAAACTTGGCATTTATTATTGAGATCTTGATCTTTTCCTGTTAATTCTTGTTGGTATTTAGTTTCTCTTTGTGTCATATTCACAAGCATTTCTTGGACGCCTTTAAGTTCTTCGGTAACTTCTTTTACTTTTAAATCGGAATAATTTAATTTTTCATTTAATTCTTTTATGACTCGTTTCATTTCGAGGACTTCATCGCGATATTTGATTTTAGTGCCATCTAATTCTCTTTTATATTTTTCTAATGTGTTGTTTTGTTCTTTAAAATCGGTTTTTAGTCCTTGTAATTCCTCGATTTTCTTCGTCATCTCTTGCGTTTGGTGATTTAACCTGCATTTAACTGAATTTAAATTTTTTAAACAGTTATCTAATTCATCGTGGCAGTAATCAACTTTTTGTTCATGAAATTGTTGGTCTAATTCGGTGTCAACTAATTGATCGCGTAATTCGATTACGGCGTCTTGTAATTTTTTATTTCTGCAAGCAAAATCGTCGAGTTTTTCTTTTAAGTCGTCGTACATCTCTATGCTTCTTGCTAGTTCCATGTTCTTTAAGCTTAATATGTTTTGGAGTTCGTCGATTCGACCTGCGTTAACTTGGCTTAAATTTTGTTCCCGTTCTATGCTAGCCAACATTAGATTTATTTGGCTTTGAAGCGTTTGAACGAATCTTTCAACTTCTTGCGCGGTCATTGTTAAGCTATTTCCGCTACAATCACAATCAATGGTGGGATCCTCAGTATCACCGATGCCCAAAATATGTTTCATTATTGTTTTTGTTTCAATCGATTGCGTTAAATATGATGTAACCTCGTTTTGTAACGAAGCGATTTTTAATGCATCATTTCGGCTCTCATGTTTTAATCGGGATATTTCTTCTTTTAAATTGTTAATGAACTATTAAAAGAAAAGAATATAAATATCCAGTTAATAATTACATTAAAAAAAAATCTATGCAAAGCCTCAAATAAATAAATATAATTAATCGATTAAAAGCTACCTCAAAAAGTCGTTTTTCTTCTTGTTTATAATTGAATAATGTTGTTTCTAAAATTGTTTTATCTTGGTTGATTTCAAATTTCGTTATTTCTAAGTTAAGATTTTCTTCTGTTAGTACTTCGATTGTGCTTTTTAAAGTTTTTAACTAAAATAACTGCGTTAAATTTTGACTTAATTTGTTCTTTTTATTTACCTCGTTGTGATAATGAAGAGATGATGATTCTAAATCGTAAACACCGATGTCTAAAATGTTTAACAAATCGCATTTATGTTCGTGCTAAAAAAAAAAATAAATTTAATACATCCGAGACAAACAAATGATGTATTACTTCATTTTCTAACATTTATGTATCGAGGAAACTAAGAAGGCAAACCTGGATTCGACTCCGATAAAAATCATGCCGGAATAAGTTATAATTTATTAAATCATTTTTAACACAATGTTATAAATACTTAATTACATCCACATCACGTTATTTATTATCGGTAGCACCAATTTACTAAAAAAACGCTTAATATGTACAAGAAAATAAATTAAACGAAAAAATTTTGAGATTAGTTTTAAGAATTTCTTCAGTCACTTCTCACATACCTATAATTGTGCCTTTTCTATTCTTAACGTTAAGTTAAAGCTAGAATAACATTAACTAACGAAAGATTTATAATCTTTAACTTATAATAAATACATTTTGATATTTTTAAACAATGTTAACGCATTTTATAGGAAAATTCTTGAACATAACCTCAAAAATAAAAATTAATAAGAATGCAAAACCTCACAAAATAATTTAAATTAAAATAACACAGTTAATCTTAATAATTTCAATCTCAATCAACATGACAAAAGATATTTAAAGGGTTCATGCCAAAATGCTAACAATCACCGTTTCAAACATCATGCACATTCTTATTTTGATCGTTTAAGAGCTTATTATTATCTCCATTTCCGCCAAACCAACGAGAAGCCCAACCAGGACTTACATCTTGTTTAAATTTTATTCGTAATTCCTCCAATTCTTTCTTGGTAATAATCAAAGCATCTTGTAAGTTCGTTATCGTCATTTGCTGTTGAGTAATCTTTAAATTTTTATCAAAAAATTAAATTCCTATATAATTCTTTAAAGAAACATACTTACTTGGGTTTCATAGCTTAATTTAGATTGTTCAAGAACCGAGATTGAATCATTATATAAATCCACCTAATATCACAAAGAAATAAAATCAACATTTCTTATTTCGATGTTTGTCATTAATCGGGTAGCAGAAAGCAAAAAGCTGATAAATATAATTTCTTTAATTAATTCACTTACTGCGCATTGTAAATTTTCTGAATTAGCTTGTTTATTTTTAATCGCATGTTCCATGTGTTGAATGGTAAGTTTTAAATTTTCAACTTCTTGGCCTCGCCTTAAGCGTTCATATTCAATAGCCTGTTCTTTTTGTTGTAAAGTCTAAAATAGAATTGGAAAATTAAATAGTTCTCAAAGAAATTAATATATTACTGCTCTTAATTGTTCTTCTAATCTGGCGATTTTTTCTTTTGGATCTTCTTCGGCAATCTGAAAGAAAACAAAGAAAAACAAATCTAAACTCAATACTTTCTTAATAAAAATATTATTATTATTAATATCACCAATTTTATAACAAAATACATGATTCTTTTTTCTAATTTAAATGTATCGTACACAGGAAGCTTTATTAGCGATTAATAATTCCTTAATAATCCTATAATTCACAAAATCCAATACCTGCGCAATTCTAGATACCGATAAATTCAAATCGTGAACCACCGCTTCAAGATCTTGGGTTGGATTTGATTGTCTTACGTAAATCACGTGATCTTTTGATCGGGATAAAACTGTATCTTCATAAGAATCACCGCTTTCTGTTGTTAACGAACTACTAGTGGTGGTAGCTGAAGATTTTGTACTTTTATAGTTGTTATCCATCGAAGTAGCAGTTTCAACAGATAAACTTTTTGAAAAGCCAACAATTTGTGTCGTTGCAGCTTTAAGTCTGCGAACGGGTCTCGCAATCACCGAAACATCTCTTTGTTTTATACAAGTTTGACAAACTGCATTACACAAGCACTTTCTTTGCGGCTGCGGAGTTCTTCGAGTTTGAGTTACAGCACGAAGGGGTTGTTTTAATGAGGATTTTATTGGGTTTGGTATTTGAGGAATTGGAGGTGGATAGAAGTTTTGTCCACAAGGAGCTAGAAAAGATTTAAAATAATGAGATAAAAGGTGTTTTTGGGAAAATTTGACATGTTATTATTTGACAGTTAAAGATAACCTTAAAATTAATTTTTAAATTAATAAAATAATAATTATATTTAATACTGCAATTACCTTCCATAACCAATTAAATTTTTAATTTTATGTATTAAAAAAATATGATTAAAACATTTTTTCTAATTTGTCAAATTTTATGTTTGATTATGAGGTTATGTAGAAATGTCACTATTTGACATCATTTGACATCAAAGCGTATCATAATAGAACCTCAAATTCTATAAATTTTATCACATCTCTATTTAAGAACTTAATAAATAATGAATTAATGTGATATAATTGTAGCAATTTGATAAAAATGACTTAGGTTTTAAGGATTATAAAATATTTTAATTATAAACATAACCTCAAAAATATTTAAAATATCAAGTTTTAAAGTTTTTAAAATCATGCAACCTACAGTTATCTCGGATGGCTTGAACTTGATTTCGATTTCCTTTAACATGATTCGATAGGGCAAATTTCAATTTTTTACATTCCTTAGTTATACCAGGAATCTCCGGAGAGCCACATGGAATATCCATCTCTTCACTGTCCACTCCCATTACATCACTACTTAAAACTGTTCCACGATTTAAAATACAACGGCGATCGTAGCAACATGTTGGAGCAGGTCCTAAACCATCCAAACGATCTAGCAAGGCAATTTCTTCGTTTAAAATGGTAGCAATTCCTTCAAGTTTTCTCGGTATACTTGTTGATAAAGAAACCTTTTTTTGTTGAAGTATTTGTTTTCGCATGTGATCAAGTGGTTCAGTAACTCTTAATTTTTTCACCGGTCTGCATACCCCCAAAATTTGCAAATCATCATCTGATTTTTCTGTGTCAATATAACTATTAACACAAGTATAAGTATCCATTTGTTTTTTATCATTTAAATTTCCATCACAACATTGAATACATTTAGCATCGCTCGACATTAGCGGTACGTCTGATGAAAAACCGACTTCATGCTGATTAACAGCCGATGTATTAATAGCAACGCTAACACATCCAACTTCATCAATCGATAAAACTCCAGTCCAAGTTGAATCTGTATTAACCGAAGCATCAGCGTTGACACAACAACAAGAAGAAATATCAATTTCGGTCGATTTATGTTGTTGCGGTATACAGCTACAACGTTCTTTCAAAATTGTATTCTCTTCGCATAAATCTTGTATTTTATCCATGCAGAGTTTATGGTCGCGTTTCGTTTTTTCTAATTCGGCGCGAAGTAGTTCGAGTTGATTTATTGTTTCTTTGTGTTGATTTTCGAATGATTCGATTTCTTTTAACTGGAATTTGGGATTTTTTTTGGATTGCATGGGTTATAGAGGATAAAAAAAATTGTTTAAAATGATACATACCACATCGTTGTTTTGACACGTTTCAAGTCTTTCCTATAACAAAAAACAATAATAAAAAAAATAATAATAAGGAAAATAAGAAAATTAAAGTTACCTTTTCTTTCTTTAATAATAAAATTTGGCACTGACATTCTTCAACATCACTTTTGCTCAATACTAATTGCCGGTTTAATTCTTCGTTGCAACAACACTTAGTTTTTGAGAAAATTTTAATGATTATTAATTAATTGATTTGAAATTATTCAAAAATCAAAAAAGAAAGAAACTTACGTAATCCTGTATTTTTTGTTTATACTCTTTCACTCCATGATCCTATAAAATACCAAATTATTTTTTTTTTTTAGTAAAAATTGTGGAATATTTTACCATTTCCTCTTTAAGATTTTGATTTTCCTCAAAACTTTCCTTCAACATACCCCTTAATTCTTCATTTTCTTGAATCTAATATCAACAATTACAATTAATTAATACTGCAAAAATGAAATACAGTTTGAAATACAGTGAATAATTGAACTAACACTAGACCTAGAAGCAGAAACATTCGAGTTTAGCCGTCTTGACGGACGTGCGGCTAAACCCGAAAGATTGTAGTTCTAGTTCTTGTGTTAGTTTTAGTTTCAGACTGTTGTATATTTTTGTTGATCTAAAAGTAGAACACTAAACCTAGAACTACAAACATTCGGGTTAAGCCGTGTCAAGAGACGCACGGCTAAACACGAATGTTTCTAGGTCTAGTGTTGGTTCAATAAAAATATACAACATGGCACTGAATCACAATTAACACTAGAACGTGTCACTAAAAGTTTAAGTTTTCTTTCGCTCCCTTAGCAATTTGAGGGTAATTTCACTGCATTTAATATACAGGTGTCCCGTATCTTCCGCATCAGAGCATTATACGGTTGTAGGATACGTTATTCTGAAGCAATCTTTCTAATAAAATTTTCCAGAAATGTTTATAATAACCGCACGGGGTTGTCCAATAGCAATATTCCGTGAATCACGGAAAAAGTTTATTTCTCTTTCCGTGTCGAATCTATTGGTGAGTACACGTACGAAACTAGTTTAGAACGGCGCGGTGGACCGGCCGGGGATGGTACCGATTGCCTGAGTGTGATTTACGATCTCGGAAGGCGTTTCCCTAAGCTTTTGTTGAATTGCTATTGGACGAAAAATAGTTCGTTTAAACAGTTCCTGTGCGAATATTATAAACATTTTATTAGAAAGATCGCTTCAGAATAATGTATCCTACAACCGTACAATGCTCTGATGCGGAAGATACGGGACACCTATATAACATACTTTTTCTTCTTGAATTCGATGAACTTGTTCCATAGAAGATTGAAGTCGATTCCTTAACTCTTTAATATGACCGCATTGACACTGACATTCTTGACGAGCCGATTCAGCTTCTCTCCGATAATGATCACGTTCTTTAGCCTATCATTTAAATTTTAAATGAATCAAATATATAAAAAATATTATACTATTCTTACACAAGCTGCTAAATTATCCTTCATAATCGCCAGTTGATTTTTAATATCCAAAACGGCTTCTTTAAGTTGGATCTTTTCGGTGCTTTGTTCATCGGGAGTTTGCTGAAGATAAAAAAATACCATAACTATATAGATTTTAAAATTGTATAATAAAAAAATTGAAAAAGAAATTTTCTTCTTGTATAAATAGTTTAATTTCATTAGTAACATTTCGAATAACATTTCTAGATACATTTAAAAATACAGTTTCTACATTTAAGATAGATTTTTTTCTCCTTTTATTTTATTAATTTTTTATGATTAAAGTGTATGCATTTCTCATCTTCGATTTTTTCGATGGATTTTCGAACAACTTTTTGCAATCCAATAATAATACTTCGGTATTTAATTGATAAATGATCTATTTTTTTATCGTCCGGATGTTTTATACCGCGCACCTAAAAATGATTTTAAATTAATAAAACAAAGGTTTCTTTTTGTATCTAAATTTACCATAACGTTAGTTTTATCTTCTAAATCTCTCAATGTCCTATAAACAATATACAGTTTTTGTACCAACAACACAATCAAATCATTTTGATCAAAAATGTATTTATCTTTATTCCCCAATTGTTTAACCAAATTTTTGCATTCACTTTCTAAGCCGGCAATTAAAGTTTTTTCGTGTTCCGTACGTTCAACGATATCATTCACAATTCCCATCCAATTTGGTGAGGTCGGAGGATTATTTTTAGGACCGTAAGTAGTTTGTACTTCTTTATCGACGAATTCTATCCGCGACGGAAGTGATTTACTGCAATAATTACGAAGATGCTAAAATAAATTTAATTAGGAAATGAAAATAATTAAAATATGTTTGCTTACCAATGGAGTTTCTCGTCTCATGAATTCGTACGGAAGGACCACTTGCAAACTGTCGCCTGCTTCCTAAAATTGCAAAGTGTGCAATTTTAGTGCTTTAATTAAGTTATTTTTTTATGACCGATTCGATCTAACAAAATTACCATCACTTAAAATAAGTAAGCACAAGTAAAAATAATAATTAATAAGATTAAATAACGCGGGGGTAAAATACATTTGTTCATAATCTTATATAATTAATTCAAATTGGGTTAATAACATTTAACACTTTGACATTCGGATCAAATCTTTCATCATTAATTTCCTATATCAATAAGGTATGTATATTAAGTGTTAGTTTTAGTGACAATACTAGTGTAAAACTAGAACTAGAACTAGAACTAACACTAGACCAAGTACTAGAAACGTTCGGGTTTACCCGCACGTCTCAAGACGGCTAAACCCGAATGTTTCTAGGTCTAATGTTAGTTCTAGTTTTAATTGTTATTCAGCGTAAGATTGTTGTATTCTAGTTATACTGAACTAAAACTAGAACTAACACTCGACCAAGAACCAGAAACATTCGGGTTTAGCCGCGCCCCTGAAGACGCACGCCTAATCCCGAATCTTACGAAACTACTGTACTAACTAAAAGAAATTCTAGCGACATAATTTTTTGTAAATTTATAAAATTAACTACAAAACTATTTATTTATAATAAAATTTTACAATAACTTCTCATCATTTACTATAATATAAAGTACTAAATTTGCATCACAACAAATAACTAAAGTCCATTTCAAACAAAATCCATCAATTTCTCAATAAGTATTATTAAAACAATTCCAGCAATCAACATATTCATCACAGAAAGCCTTTTTATCTAGCATCCCACCAAAATTCCAAGCCAAATTTTTCCTACGTTCTTCAATTAAACAACGCGTATCAATATAATTATAATTTGCAACGACTGGGGGTCGAATGTTCAAACGATCTTTTGTTAATCGCGAATTACAAGATGGTAATGATTGGGATTTTACAGATAACGAAACATCTTCAACATAACGAATGGGGTGTGGGTAATAATTCCTACGTAAAGTTCTTGTACTTAAAGGTTTAGGTTGTTGCCGGTAATGTTTTGGTTCTAAATAAAACGGTGACATAACAGATCGTCTTGGACCTAAATAATGCGTTGAATACGTTTTTTCCTTTTCTTGGAATTTATTGAACTTATTTTCCGAGCTTTCGATGTTATCGCTACGAAAAATCTGTTTAATTTCATCTAAATCATCGTTTTGAAAATTTTGAAAATTATCTGGAGGATACGGCGAAGAGAAGGCTCTTATTTCGTTCTCGTTAAACGAAATTTCTTTTGCGAGGTGATTATTAAAATCGTTTTTTTGTGAAGATTTATTTCTTGATAAAAGTGAAATTAAAGTTGCGTCATCGTTACCACAAACATCACAAGTTTGGATTGATTTACGAGGTTTATACGGTGTTTTAAATAAGGTTTTTTTCTTTTTCTTTTCTTTATTTTCTATTTTATTACGAGAAGGTTCTTGAATTTGTTTTTGAAAAAAACCGTGAGGAGTTTTTTTTAATGATTCATTTTCGTATAATAATTCTAAACTTCTCGATGATAATTGATTTTCATCGATTGAAAGTGTTTTTAGTTTTGGTGAAAAAGTTTCTTGTAATTTTAACGTTTCAAATTCCTTATTGTTTTCTTCTTTTTTTTGTGAACGATTTAATAAATCCAAAATATCCCGAGAATAACGTACGCAGGTTTCTTGGATTGTTGAATGCGATACTAACGACAAATTATGTAAACTACTGTTTAAAGAAACATCTTTGGATAAATTCGAATAATCCCGCGGGGGATCAATTGATTGTGATGTATTATTGAGATTATTACGTGAGGCGTTTTTTGGAATATCCATGCTTACATCGCTGTCGCGAGTTTCTCTCGAATCAATATTTTTATCATTGCTTGTGTTTCTTTCTTGTTTTTGGGGTATGCTTTCGCATATATAAACGATTGTTTGATTTTGAGGATCCGTAAATTTCTCTTTAATCGTTTGAGTATGCAACGAATCGCCGATTGTTTCGCTATCTCTAATCACAATTGTGCCATCTTTTAAATGATCGATTGTTGTGTCGGGATCTGTTTTTGACTGGTGGATACGTTTTCGAGGAGATCTTGGGCGGGATTTATCGGGAGAAGTTCGATGCTAAGGTTTATAGGGTTTAGAAATAAACATTTTCTTTTATATACACTTCAATAATTTTCTTACCTGTTGTTGTTTGAGTTGTTTAATTTCTTTACGCAACTCCTTGATGATATCATCTTTAAAATGAGTTTGTTGGTCCGCTTTTCTACACTGCTCCTCCAACATGTGAACTTCACGTCTTAAGCACAAGATGGTATCGTGTTTATCTGCTACTTCCGCAGTAAGCGCGTCTCTCATGTCCAGCATCGACTGAAAATTCATTCAAATTTAGATTTTTATACAGATATTTAATGGGTAAGGTCACAACTTTAAATTTCTTTTTCACAATCTAAATCTGAATGAACTTTTTTAAATAAGGACTACTTTTATTGGTTATTTGGGACGATTTGTATACATATTCCGCAATAATACTTAGTTGTGAACATACACCGATTTACTATAGTGCAAAATAAAAAATTACCTGCTCTAAATCTTTATAATCCTTTCGATAAGACTCTTGCGGCTTGAGTTGCGCTTCCAATTCCTTAATACGCTTCTCTTGCTGTTTTATTAAATCTTCTTTCTGAAACAATCATAAAAATCAAAACACCACTCCAACAAATACATTAAATTAAAATTAATTAAGTCAATGAAACACAACATTTTTTTTTTAATATTGTCAGTGATACAAATCATACAAAAACTTTTTTTACATGGCATGTGAACCTGTATGGTATTTAAAATACATTTCCCTTGTGTCTTCGGTAGGACAACCAATCTCAAAAAGTTCTTGTACTTGTTCTTGTACTTCTCTTGAATTAATATTATTACAAAATACCTCAAAAGTAACAGTAATAAATTTTGATACCTTCACCGAGTTGCAACATGATGGTACACACACCCTAAAAACAATTAAACAAGATGTATTTTATCCTAATTTAATCATAAATATATAAAAGCAATTACCTCCTTGCACATGGTGGGATAACATCGTTAATATCTAAACAATAAAACATTAATCCATCGGTATTCCAATTTCCGGTCGTTTGAGCTCTTCTAATTAACTCAATCAGGTTGTTCATGTCGTTTTGTACTTGCTCCATTTTCTGCAAATCCCCAAGGAAGTTAATAGAAAAGTCTCTATAACTATCCATCACCTAAAAAGTGGAGATGTGATTGAGATAAATATGCTCTGTATTCTGTTCTTTAAGGGATATTGAAACATACTTGCTTCTTATTGAGGTTCGGAAAGGAAACATATTTTCAAGGTCACCAAAAACAAATACACTTTTTGTTCTTTATAAAGTATCAAGTTACAAAGGTTATATGTATTATTTTAATAAAACGTTTTAGCAACACGGTAACCTAATCTTTATATAGGCCCATAGAATAAATTAAAATAATTAAAATCCCTTTTGAGGTTATTGAAACTTTGCCTTAATTTTAAATTTGACAATAAGTGTAGCCAACCTAAAACAACCCTAATTTGATTTTATGAAAAATTAAAGTTTACGCAAAATTTAATAAAAAATCTAAGTAAAAATATAGAGATACTAAACATAACGGAAAAACCATAATCTTGGAAAATTTAATTTCATTAAATTTAAAAAAATATTACAACCAACCAAAATCAAAAAATTCTCCATAATCTACATCAAAACGTCATTTTTAACAGCTTAGCAAATATCTTACCTCTCCAGCTGATTTAGCACTTTGATGTAACTTTTTTTCCAATAAAGTAACCCTCTCGGCTGCCTCCACTTCCAGTTCTTCAACAACTCTGACCAACATTTCATTCTGATCAGTTAAATCTTTAATCCATTCTTGTTGAAGATTAACTTTAGCCTAAAACATAATAACAATTGACCGGGTAATACATCCAGATTTGCACAATTTTTAAAAAGTTCTAACCTGAATACAGTCTCCGCCGGCGATATCATCGATTTGTTTCATTTTATCCTCATAAAGTCGCTTAAATTCTTTAATGATCTGTAGGTTTTTTGTTTCACCGCATCTTGAACCATCTACGAGTGCTGGACAACCATCGGGGCCGAAAGATTTCCGAAGACCGTTTGAGCTTGTTGTGGGCGATTTGTAAGCGGATATGGAACCGCTTGATTTAGTTGTGTTCATCTCAGTTTGGGAACTTGTACACTGGTGTCAAAAACGAAAATTTATAAAACCGGGGACGTAGTTTTTCTTAAACGGGTATTAAAACTTAGATTTATGACAGAATCGTGTTAGATCTCGCCATAGTGATTGACATTTTACGTTTACACTACACTGCCTACTACTATATTTAACACTATTGAGGCCCCACTCTACAATAAACTCACACTCATACACCGAGCTGTTCTTCTCTATTCTTAGATCACCCCTAACGGTTCTTTTTATTCTTAACTTACTTCTCTTTGAAGATGTAAAGTTACGAAGATAATTTTAATTAATGTACATACATAATATGCTTATCTTAAATTGCAGTTCTATTAAGTTGATCAAAAAGGTGTGATAATGGGATTTATCTATAAGTTTGTTTTTTTAAGGTTATATTTTTTTGTTCTTGACCAAATGACCTCGTTTTAAGTTGATGTCACCTACTTTTTCTTAAAAGGAAGCATTCTTTTTGGGGTGATTTATTGAAAAATAAATCAACATAGCAATAAAAGAGGCAAAAGTAAATAAATAATATAATAAACAATATTTTATACTAATTTAATCATTCAATTAAAAAATATTAAATTAAAACTGATTTTAAAGTTGAATAAAGAATTCAACGAAATTAAAAGAAAATTAATTTTTAACATTGTTAATTAATTATTAAAATATTTTATCCATTTTTTAAATTTAAAAACATTTAAAAAACTTTAAATTTAAATAATTTCTTCGTAATCACTTGAAGTTAGGTGCACTTGTTAAAAATAATAAATTAATTATCTTATTATAATTCATTTACCTTAATTACAATTATCTTAACTTATTAAAGAACTTATTTTATTTAAAATTTTTAATTAATTTAGTTTTAAATGGAAAAAGATTAAAAAATCAAAAATATAAATTTTCAACTTTTGAATGAAGTTAGTTACATCAAAAATCAGTTTTAACTTGACACATTACGAAGCAAAATACAATTTGAAACAATCATTCCGATTGAATAAAAACCTTATAAAAACGTTGTATTTTCACGATGGCTGCACGTTACGATAGAGCTATTACGGTTTTTTCACCTGATGGTCATCTGTTACAAGTGGAATACGCCCAAGAAGCCGTCCGAAAAGGATCCACAGCGGTAAGTTGCGACTCATAACCTCAAAACTTTACATGACGATGCATATAACTTTATATATTGATGTTTAATTGTGGTTTTAGGTTGGTGTTAGAGGTAAAGAAGCCGTCGTATTGGGGGTAGAAAAAAAGTCTGTAGCAAAACTGCAAGAAGAAAGGACAGTACGGAAAATATGTCTTTTAGACGATCATGTAGTTATGGCATTTGCTGGTTTAACAGCTGATGCAAGAATTTTAATAAATAGAGCTCAAATTGAGTGTCAATCTCATAAATTAACTGTTGAAGATCCGGTTACTTTGGAGTACATCACTCGGTACATTGCGAGTTTAAAACAAAAATACACCCAAAGCAATGGAAGAAGGCCATTTGGTATGTCATGTTTGATTGGAGGATTTGATTATGATGGCATTCCTCATTTATATCAAACTGAACCTTCTGGTATTTATTACGAGTGGAAAGCTAATGCAACTGGGAAATCTGCGAAGACTGTAAGGGAGTTTTTGGAGAAATATTATACCGATGAAGAAGTTGCCAGTGAAGCAGGAACTGTAAAGTTGGCTATAAAAGCTTTATTGGAAGTGGTGCAATCTGGGCAAAAGAATTTAGAGATTGCGGTTATGAGAAAAGGGCAGCCTATGGTTATGCTTGATGCGGAAACTATTGAAAAATATGTTAATCAGATTGAAAAGGAAAAGGAAGAAGAAGCGGAGAAAAAGAAACAAAAAAAATAATCTAATAAGGCGATATTTTTCTTAATTATCTTATTCGTTTGTAATTTGTAATAAAAATAAAAGCTACTAAATTTAAAATGTTTTCTAGTAATATTTCCCCCAAATTTTATTTAGGGAATTTTAAGTTTTTGATAAGTAATTTGACACAACAATAAACATAACCTCTAATGTCAACGAATATAAATGCAATAAAAGTAAAAACATTTCGTATTATTACGTGAATACATGTGAGTCGTACGTAAATAAATATGAGATGAGTCATGGATAAAGGCAGGTATTAATCTTACATATTTTTTCTCAAATTAAATTTAATTAAATTTTTTTCAATTAAATTAAGATTCTCTTTGTTACTTTTGGAACCATCAGAAATATATTTCGAAGATTTTAGTGCGATTTGCGTTAGATCAGATGTTACATCAAAAACCTACGATTTTAAAAAGCAAGATGGTCGTCTTAAGCTCTGCTCCAAATCGCTCGTCTTTGATCCTAAAGACACCTCGAAACCGCTTATTAAAATGCAACTTCGTGATTGTCAAATAATTGAAAAATGGAAAGGAAAATCGAAATTTATTCGTAGCGCTCATGTGCTCAGTATTATTTGTAAAACGTATATAGAAATGTTGGAAGGAAATGAAATTGCTCCATATAAGTTTGAGGAGAACGGCAGGTTTTTGTTTTTATTAAATTATGCAAATATTGAGGATTGTTTGCAACAAATTTTACAATTACAAAGAGCTAATACTTTGCCTGCTTTAGAACAATCAAATATGGTAATTATTATTTTGGTTTCCGTAAGGTTTATTTTTTTAGAGAATTTTTGAGTAGATATCAGCTATAGTTAATGCGAGAAGAGTTGGCGTTGAATTTAATCCTTTATGGTGTGATCTATATGAAAAAATAATTATGGAAACACAAGCCGATAAAATTAGTCCGTTAGTTAAAAACCCGGGAAGAGTTATTTTAACAAATTCAAAGTTTTATTTTCAACCTTATAACAACATTGAAACCGTAGATATTTATATTTATTATAATAACTATATAATTTCATTAATTTTTAGCATCCGTATCTTCAAATTAATTTAAGTGCAATAAAACGAATCGTTAAAAGAAGATTTTTATTGCAACACATTGTAGGTAACTTTATTTAATTAAATTAAATTTTGATTATTGTTTTTTAATTAGGGAATTGAAATTTATTTACATGAAAGTGATAAATTCTCTTACATTTATATTGCTCTTTCGAATCAAAACGAAAGGGATACTTTATACGATTTAATGTTAGCCCAAGAAGAGTTAAAACTCCAAGAACAAGATATGGATGTTATGACTTTACAATGGCAAAATGGGGTTGTGTCTAATTACGATTATTTATTATATATTAACAGGTAAGATAGATTTAAATAAGAAAAATTTTGCTAGAGCTTTTTTATTTTGACACTTATTGAATTGAAATGAAATTTAAAAAAATGATTAATAAATTAAGTTAGTCTAGGGGACCGGACAATAAACGATTTAACCCAATACCCAGTCTTCCCATGGGTTTTATCCGACTATCAAAGCACCAACATTGATTTATCAAACGAAAAAATATATAGAGATCTATCAAAACCAGTTGGAGCCTTAAATGAAGCCCGTTTAAAACGGCTATTAGAACGTTATAATGAAATGCCCGAACCGAAATACATTTACGGTTCACATTATTCAACACCAGGATTTGTGTTGTATTATTTAGCCCGATTATATCCTCAATATATGTTATGTTTACAAAATGGACGGTTTGATTTACCAGATCGAATGTTTAATTCATGCAAAGATGTTTTTAAGAATTGTTTGAGTAATATGGCAGATTTTAAAGAGTTGGTTCCTCAATTTTACGACGTTGAAGAACGAGGGTCGTTTTTAGTTAACAGTAAAGGTATTAATTTTGGATATCGAGAAAGTGGGGTTAAAGTAAATGATGTCGAATTACCACGTTGGGCGAATTCTCCAAGCGACTTTGTTGAGACTTTAAGAAATGCTTTAGAGTCTGATGTTGTTTCGAAACAATTGCATTTGTGGATTGATTTGATTTTTGGATATAAACAACGTGGGTCGGAAGCTGTTAAAGCTTATAATGGTACATATTTGTTTAATTTAATAAATTTATTTTAATATTGATTTTGTTTATAGTTTTTCATTATATGTGTTATGAAGGAAACGTAGATTTAGATTCAATAAAAGATGCTAATCAAAGGCATCCGATTGAGGTTCAAATTATGGAATTCGGACAAGTGCCTAAGCAAATCTTTCATGTGCCTCATCCTCAAAGAAAAGTCGGACAAATTTTACTTGAGGTTGATCAAATTCAAACCGATTCCAATAATTGTGGTAAAAAATAATGAAAAAAATAAAATCATCAAAAAAAACTTTTTTTAATTATAGATTTCGATTCCGAATGGAAAAACATAATAAATTTGGAACATCAAACAACATTTTCAGCGCATAAAGCCCCAGTAACATCAATTTACTCATCGGAAGATCCCGATAAACTAATTTCAGTTGGGCACGATTCCAAATTAAAAATTTTTTCCATTTCTCAAAATAAACAAATTCGAAGTGCTAATATTGGAAGTATGCCTTTAAGTAGTTGCGTGCAATTACCAAATTTAAATACAATAATCGTTGGAAGTTGGGATAATAGCATGTAAGTTTTTTTCTTAAACAAATAATTTATTTGTACATTTTTTTTTTCTAATTTAGCCAGATATATGATTTAGATTACGGTAGAATAATGCAAAGTGTTGAAGCCCATGAAGATGCTGTAACGTGTATGCTTTGGTCAAATAAACTAAATTTGTTATGTTCCGGCAGTTCTGATTGTACAATAAGAATTTGGAGAGGCTTTAACGAATATGGAGCAATTAAACCAATACAATGTTTAATTTCTCAACTTGATCATAATTCCGAAGTTACTTGTTTCTGTTTTAATGGGTAAATGTTCCTATTAATATTATATTAATACAGTGAATAAGTATATACTGTCGCACATAAAATGCAACATTACAGTATGTCCTTTGACATTACAGTAAAACCTGGATATAACGCATCAATTATATATATTATCATCCATTATAGTGCAATAAAAATATACAACAATCTAGAATAACAAATAAAACTAGACATAGAACTAGAGACATTCCGTTTAGTCGTGTCGTTCTAGTAGGTAGTGCATATTTTTATTGCACTAAAACTAGAACTAACACTAGACCTAGAACCAGAAACATTCGGGTTTAGCCATGCGTCTCTTAAGACGGCCGAAAACTCTGGATTATCATAAGGATGTTACTGCTTTTCCAAGCAAAACTTTGCAAAACTACCCAACGCCTGTACTATATATGTATTAAGCTATGCTGCATTTTATGTGGAAGTGCATAGTAGTTTTGTAACTATGGTTACTGCACTCATATATTGCCAGTTATACGAAATTCTTGGTGTACATAATTACAATTTCTTTTTACAGTTGTAATAAACATTTAGCTGTTGGAACTCAAGACGGTGAAGTTTACATTTGGCAAATATCGGATAATTTATTATTTAAACGATTTTCTTTGCATAACTCTGCGATTAAATCGATTTCTTATAGTCCTGATGAAGAGAAATTAGTTACATGCGGTTTAGATAAATGTTTTAAAGTGATCGATATCTCAACCGGGATGGCGGTTTATTCAAAGATTTTAAATTCTCCGTTGTATTCGTTAAAATGGGATGCATCTACGTTATTTATAGGCGATGAATCCGGTTTTGTGTATATTTGGAATATTGTTGAAGTTAAAGAATTATTAGAAATGAAATTACACAATGGTAATTTATTTATTATTTATTCGGATAGTAATTCTAAGTGTTTTATGTTTTAGGGGCTGTTAATGTTGTGGAATTATCGAAAAATAAAGAGTACCTATTTAGCGGAGGAAGTGATAACTTAATTAAGGTATGGAAACCGATTTATCAGTAAAAATAAATCATTAAAGGACGATACTTAATACATATTTTTTATATCAGTATTTTTTTTAATATTAAGATATCTTTAATAAATTATTATTAACATTTCAACTTTAAGTTTTTGATTTACCTAAATAAACTTCCGCGAATGCATTAATTTTACCTGTTTCTATTTTAACGCAGCGTAACCACAAAATTAAAACACTCTTTGTTTAATTACAATGGCACTGATCATATGATGCATTTATACATTCTTTTTAGTTTTAAGTAACAATGGTTAACAACCATGTAAAACCTCAAAATAAGTGACCCATTAATACGTAATAATTGATCTTATTGTGTTGTGGTTTTAACATAATCGATTTAACCTTTTATGAAGAACAAAAAATCATTAAAATGAATGTTAAAATAAAAAGATTAAGCTAAAAAATTGGGTTTGGCAAGAAATATTTTCTGAAACAAAATTAATAAAAAAATTATAGTTTATTTGATTATATTTATTTATTTTATTTAAATTTTTCTTCTTCCATCCATTTTAAAATAACATAATGGTTGTTAAACCGTGTAAACCTCAGAATAAGTGCCTCATTAATGCCTAATAATTGATCTCATTGTGTTGTGGTTTTAACATTATAATGGATCCTTTTATAAGAAACAATCATTACTTAGAACATTTTTTTTAATGAAAACACTTTGGTTCAGCATGAAACATTTCGAAAAATAAAATTTAAAAAATTATACAGTGAACTTCACTTAAGATGCAATATACTAAAATATATTTTACCATAGAAACCAGGACGTACCTACTTAGTTTGTTGCACCGTAGTTTCGGAACTATGGTTACTGCATTCATATATTGCGAGTTATATTAAATTCCTGGTATGTATCCATGTTTAAGGAGATTTTTAAATTAGGTTAACTAATTGATTATTTATTACATTGTAATAATATAACAAATGGGTTTCAAATTACGCTTTAAATCGATTTAAGTTTATAAGTAGAGTTATATTTGATGTGTTTGAATTAGTTGGATTCTTTGAATGGATGCAGTTAGATCTTATTTAAATGAAAAAATATATATATAACAATTCAAAGAAGAGAACGTTAATTTAAAAACACGAGATGAAAAAAATAATCGTAGGTGAGTCATATTTAAAAATTAAAAATTATTTTTTTTGCTACTAACAAACAAGTTTTAGAAAATGACTTTATGACTTGAAAAGCGAGGTTAAATGATTAAAAGAACCGTTAGAAGTAATCTCAAAAGGATAACAAGATGTTTTTAAACAATGCGTCAAAGTGTAAACAAGATTTTCTGTTTTGATTCTGCACGGAACGAAACAAAGAGGTAAACAACATGAAAAATCGAAAAAAATATGATATTTCAATAACAAAGTTGTTTTTTTGCCTGCGTCGTTGTATAAGCTCAACCTTAAATCAAAAATTATTTTTTTCTCAAATTTCTATATCATTTTCTTTTAGTAAGAAATGAGTCACATGAACTAGTTGATCAACGTAATAATTAGGTTTACCCAACGATGCATAAATGATCTATTAATATCGTCGTTAATAATAAATTTGCGAAAAACTAGCGAAGTTTACAGGAATACATTTAGTTTAAGCGATAGTGAAGTATAATTACGTCAAGTAATTAAGAGTAATGATGATATTACTACGTCTGGACTTATTTTTGAAAATGGGGGGGCGCCCAAAACGATAATGTCTAATATCTTTCGATTTATACTTATTGGAGTCGAAAAGAGAAACTTTCTAATAAGATTTTTGTATTCATTATGATATATTTTGGAATCAAAACTGTTTCTTAATCAAGTATCAATCAAAAACTAAGTTCTAAAGAATATGCGATCCTATAAAATTGAATCGGTAGGTATCATTTATATTTAATGTTGATAAAGGTACTGATATTAATTGCAACGAAATTGTTTAGAGGTTGGAGAAAAGATATTGGTGCTTCCGGTTGTATCGTTCGTTCTTTTGGTAAAATATTTAATAAAGATTTGGGATAAATGTGTTCAATTTTGGCTATCAAACCTAGAAATGTTTAAAAATGACCCTCATTGTTAAATATGATTCTATCCATGAACCAGCATTTACTTTTTATTGCTTAATAGTCCATATAACAAAATTTTCTTCGTTGTACATGGTCTGTAGGCAGAATTTGTTGAGTCAAGGTAAAATTCTTCGACTTTAAACTTTAGTTAAGTTTTTTGCGCTCGTATTTTTTTATGGTTTGAGACGGTCAGCATCTTATCTTTTTGGTGCCTCTACAACATCATTTTTATTTTTATTTGAGTTTGATTGAAAAAAAAAAGGTTAATGATAAGAATCTTTGAATTGAAATTTCTTGATTTTAATTGAATTTTAAACAGGATTAAGTGTTTTTATAAATAAAAGAGCGTATTTAATAACATTTTGGGATGTTCTTCTGAAATCTATGTATGAGTTATTAACTTTGATGATATTTATTTTTATTTAACTATTTTTTACACTAATTATGTGTCGAAAACCAAAAATCGAAAACATGTTTATTGTTTAAGCCAAATACAGTTTTTACAAGAACAACTTTAAGTTATTTTTTTAACATAAACAACATCCCTTAAAAAAATCTTACCTCAACCCAATTTAAACCAATTCTGAACCGGAACTAATTACAAAATCCCCCACCCCCGAAAACAAATTGGTCCTCATACCCCATTGGCCCAAGTCTAAAACCACCACCAAATTTTTTTGGGTAGATAAGGGATGTCTGGACTTCTTCAATTTACAGTCTTCTTAAATCTTCAAGTCATTAACGTTGTCTTGTGTGATATTAAACTTAGCAAAAATGAATCCTTCATCATCCCCAGTGTATGAAATGTCTTTACCTAAATCTGAACCAGTTGAAGAAGTTCCTCAAGAACAAATTTCTTCAATTAACCCAAGTGAAGGAAATCAAACCAGCCAGATTGATGTTATTGTGCAAGAAGCTTTACAAGTAAGTTCATAGTGATGATTTTGTTGCAACAAAATTTTAATTTTTCTTTTTCTTCTAATTATTTAGAGTTTGATGAAATGGTCAGATCATGAAAGTTATGACGACAATTTTAATATGACCACAACACCAAGCCCGGTTGATTTAGAACAAGAACAAACATCAATCGAATGTTCTTCAGATTATAAAGAATACACGGAATTTAATATGATTGGACGCCCCCAAGAAGCTTTTCCGCAACCTCAACAATACCAACCAAATCAAACGTGGATTAACTGGAATAGTAATTGTAATGGAATGATTTATCATCAACAGCCCTACAATGTACTTCAAAGTGATCAAATTCCAAATTTAATTCCTGTTTATGGTAAGTTATTAAATTAATTTTAGACTATATCATTCTAAAAATTTCTGTTCTTTTTAGATAATTTTTACGTTCAACATTCACCATCATCTCCTTATAACATTGTAACAAGTTCGACGACTTCTTCGACGAATACCACTCAATTGAAACAAAAACGACGAAGAACCGCGTATTCAACGGATCAATTGATAGCGTTGGAAAACGAATTCAAAGTGAATAAGTACATAAACAGGACGAGACGTGCTGAAATTGCGAGAGCGTTAAATCTTCCCGATTTGAATATTAAGGTCTGGTTTCAAAACAGGAGGATGAAAGAAAAACGGGAAGGTTCTGCTCAAAAATATCCCTTGATGAAACACGGGTTAGAAATGTAAATGTTGTAAAAATTTTTTGTACAAATCTTGTAAATATTCTTTTTTGTAAATTATGTATAAATTTAAATGTTTTTATATTAAAAAATTATTAATAAAAAATAAATTAGTTTCTTTTTTCAACAATAACAATGATATATTATTACCTATCTGTAAAAGAAGATTGTTTATAACGTTTACATTGCACGCTTGTAAATCGTAATAAAAGGGGCTTTATTGGAAAACGTTTTATGATCAATATGTAAAAGATGTCACGTTTTCGTGTTAAAAAAAATGGTGAGTATGATAACGATGTTGCGCCTTTATTATAGGTGGTGTGATTATTTTTCGGTTCACAATTACGTTCCGATTCGATTCAACAATATCACCAATTTCTAGAAGCGTTGTTTAAAGAATGTCGTTTATAAATTGGAAGAAATGTTTGACGGGACCAAAACATCTTCTTAAACTAATCGCGATTATTTTGTGTTTGTGTGTTGCTTGTTATCAGGTAAATATTTCTTTGTTTCTTTAGAACGTTGAAATAAGTGTATTTAAAAAATTAATTTATTTATTTTTTTTAAATAATTACACAAGTATACACAACTTTGGACATGAGCAACCAAATGATACTTCTAAGGTAATTAGGGCGCTCAATCCGAATATATAATCCTTTTTTAAGATTAATTCTTAATAAACATAAGTTTGATGTGTTATAAGCGGTATAGAGGAGACGTCTGTTTTTTTTTGCGAATAACAAATACGACTTGCCAAATAATCTCACACATAACGATGTTCAGTTGCACAGATGTCTCACAAACACAAAAAGACAGCAAAATTTAGTAAATGCAGATTGCCTTCCCATCAAGTATCCAATGACCTTAGTAAAAATATTTAAATCAATTCAAATTTTCTAAAATACAAATGTTTTAGTGATGCTAATTGTGTTTGGTATTGACTAAGATTGTAGGCATTGTGTCGTAGCATCCTTTTTATTTCAACCCAACTCAACCCATTATCTATGCCGAGCATTAGTCATCTCATCCCTTGTATTAGTTTTTCAAAGCACTTCGTCGGTACAGACTCAAAACATTCCACGATCCACTACTTACTTAAATCGTTGCAATCGTCGTCTTCTTGTAGACCGTCCATACCGAGACTATTGATCAGTTTCATAAAGTCAAAAAGCATGGCATCTTAAATGTTTTTTTTATTAAACATATAATTATCACCGGTTTTTCTAAATTCATCTTTACTTTTTAGCAATTTTAAAACAATTTATACTCAATACTCAAAGTCCAGAACCAATGTTGACGCAAACGGATTGCATATTAACATTCAGTGAATCAAATTACGTTGAGAATTGTTCTCATTTGGTCGTGTCTAAAATTTTATCGGAATTTGTAAACTTGTAATAACAATTATTAATAATACCTAATAAAAAATTAATTATTTTTGCAGCTTTCAGAGTGTTTCTCCAAAATTCTTCACCCACCAGTTTCGACTTATTACAACTTTGATTTAAACGAAACTTTAAGTTTTCCCGCTTTAACAATATGTAGAAACCCAGCGTTTAAAACTGGCGTTTTATCGGTAATTATTTATTAATTAAAATTTTGTCGATTAACATATTTTTTTAGAAATACAACATAAGTTCTGGCGGCCCAAAATATTCACAAGCTTGGAGAAACTTTCAATTTTCGAAATATAAAATGCAGGATTTTTTTGATGAGGCAACTTATTCTATAACTGAAGTTTTTCCTTTATACGGTTTCGATACTTTAACAGCGAGTAATTTTTATTTACCAAAAAAATTGTTTTCTTTTATTCAACTATTTATTTTTAGATGTTATAACATCGTCGTTTTTACACGCGGAGTTAGGGAAATGTTTCGTTTTTACCCCAGTTAACGAAACAACTTCTTGGTCATCAACGGGATATTCGTTTTACTTGAACCACACAGAAACAGAACGAAAATTAAGTAAATACGGGGTGTCTTTATCGGGATATCACGTCCATATTCACGATAGAAAAGACGTTTATATGAGTAAATTATTTCTTAAATCTCACCTTTTATTTAAACTAATTAATTTTTGATTTTAGTCCCAAAATTCATTGATCACAGCTCCGATTATTTTTATATTGAGAACGGAGAGGATGTTCGCTTAAATTTACGCGTCCAAAGTTTTATTCAATTATCGAGAAAAGAAGAGTTTTGTAACGATTCTTATGATTACAGTAAATCTTTATGTGAAACTCGATGTTATTTTAAAAGGATAACTGAAGAAATTGGTTGCAGCACGCCGTGGTTGGTTAACGAAAATTTACCTCAATGCGATACTTACAATAAAACGAAAGACTTAATTAATTTATACGATGGGTAACCTCTAAATGAATTCTATAAATTAATTATTATTAATTAAATAATTTTTTTAACAGCGCTGGAAAAGATTATATAAAACAATGTAATTGCCCAAAAGCTTGTCGAATCAATGCTTACACTTCATTTTTAGAAAATCGCCGCGATATCGATTTACCACGAAGTGAATTATCGATAACTTTCTCGACGAATATCGTAACGTTGATGAAAGAGATTCTCGGTTACGATTGGAATTTATTTTTATCGGATTTGGGGGGTTCTTTGGGTTTCCTACTAGGAATATCGGTAATTGGAATAATTGGAACGTTGGAAAATTTTATTAACGCCATTCGGAAAAATAACGAAGAATTATCGCTTAATTCAAAATCGATGGCAAATGTAAACGAAGTCGAAACCATTTACGATATAAAAGAAATGAAGAAAATTAAACCTAACAAAGAATTTGTTATTGATAATAACAATCAGTATATACCACAAAAAGAAACGCACGATTTCGTATCTATTAATAAGTATTAAATTAAAATATGTAATTTCATTTTATGTACATACAAAAACAAATTAAAAATAATAAATGTCAATTTAAAGCAAGGAAACGTTTTGTTCATTAAATTAACGTCATTTTTCAGGACGGCACAAAAAAAAACACGAAAGCAATAAAAAAGAAACTTTTCCGAGCTTCGAGTTTAAGCGAAACTTTTTAAATACACAACCGTGAAACACTTTGGTTGTTTACTATTTGCTACCTCCTCTCACAACGTCGGGGGCGGTCGTGGCGTTTGCGGTTTTCATTAGATTGCACTCAGGTTTTAATAGACTTGAATTTCTTTTTTATTACACTTTTATGAAAACATTTTTTATTTTCCTACTGATTTATTTTATTGCATCATATTTGTATTGATTCAAATTGATTATTTTCCAAAATTAAGAAAAGAGAACAAAATTTGAACGATATACTTGGATGTTATTTATGTGAGAAGTCGGCGTAAATTAAAGTTTTAATGAAATTTTCACCGTTCAGGAAATGAGCTCGCTATATTACGTGGTGCTTCAACTTGAACCAAACGACTTCGCCTCATTTGTCTTTTTTAAAATAGATTTTTTTAATAAAATAGGTTTTTTTTAATCATAGGTGTTTAATAAAAATCGTTTCCATATAAAATATTTTTAGTCTAAATCTTTGATGGTTACTTATTGATTTGTGTGTAAAAATTTTTTTTTTATTTTGATATTCAAGCTTAAACCGCTTGACCTCGAGTTTAAATTAACTGTACCCGGGAGCTGATGGTTGGTTGAATTATTAAATATCGTCCGTAATCTCGTGAGATAGCGTGGGAAGAATCCCATCAGGTGAAATTGAATGCATGCATCGGAAACTAGTTCTCGCCGGGTCCGTCATTAAATATCTAAATGATTCAAACATCAAACTTTTATGATTTTTTAGTTCTTCCAGAAACAAGTGACACGAAACCTTATCTATTTATGTATATACATACAGTGTATGATAAAAATACATCTCTCGTATGTTTATTTCGCCAATATGATTGAGTCAATTGGATAATTGGAAACATAATTGGAAATCACTGTGAGCATGTAGAGTTATCGGATCATTTGGTTTACTTTCAATTAACAAATACTGATTGTAATCTTGAAATCAGATGTTCCAAAAACACCTCCACATTTATCTTGATAATTTCAATCCGTGTACCAAGTAAGTATATTTTAAGAAACGCTTTGCATATTTTGATTTTCGATTCTGGATTGTTCCTACTCTGATACAAGGAATGGCAGAAGATGGAAGGTTTTTCAAAACGTTTTTTAATTGCTTAATTTTGTAACTAGAAAAAGACATGACAACTGACAGCATATTTTAAAAACTAACATCTGTTATCGTTTTAATTTTTACGTTACTCCATAGATGGCGTTCACAGTATAAAACATCACAAATGTTGACGTTTATTTTAGTAAAGTTGATTTTCTTAGTTTTTACATAGAGCAATATGATTCTGTATGTTTTAGCTTGATTATATTATACGATAAACTCGTAAACGAAGGTTTTTCAAAACGCTTTTTAATTTTGTTAGTAGCAAGGTCCGTAAAGTGTATTGTACTATGCGCTTTACGAACCTTGGTAAGTAGAAAGACATGATATGACAACTGACAGCATATTTTAAAAACTAATATCACACTGTTACTATTTTAATTTTCACTTTACTCCATAGATGGCATCCACAGTATACAAACAATTAAAAAACAACCAATAAATATTTACATCTACACTGTGTTAATTAAGTATCGTACCCGACGTAATCATGGCAAGTATGCAACCAAATACGCAAATCACGTATTGTAATACCAATACTGTAATATTGGTTACATACTTGGAATGATGACGTCGGGTACGATAATTAATTAACACACTGTATTTCAAGAAAGTTGATTTATTTAGTTTTCGTGGTTTTTACTTATTAATGATTATTACTTTACATGCATATTTAAAACTTTATATTAAATCCGTATCTTCCTGGTTAATACTTATGGTTAAAAATCTTCCTGTAATATATCCTTTAAATCTTACCAAAATACATACAATATTTTATCATACTTTATCAAATAAATCTAATTTTCCGATTATAAAAAGTTATTGAAACGTATAATCCCCGTAACCTTCGCCCCTTTAAAACAAGGCCGATTCAATGTCAGCAGCAAAAAATCCCTGCTAAGTAAACAGAATGGGGGTCACTTGATTCGATTGGATTTGAGTGTGGAGGTCGTCAACGGAGTTGTAAATTGATTAGAAAAAGGGCGCTTTGAATTCAGCCTTTTCATCGATTTTCTCAAAGAATACATCATATCTTGTATTTTTAAATCGTTCCGATTCTTTAAAATAAAATTTATTTGTTACTTTACAAGTAAGTTTGAAAAGATTTTTGAAAGAAACTTGTAAAGATTACATTTTGATGATAAGGTGTGCATATAAATCGAATCACTTTACCTAACGGCACCCATATTCTCAGTAATGTCCCGTCGTAAATCTCATTGATAGCCGCCAGTTCGTTCTCCAATACCACAGGAAACTTGAAGTATAAATCATATCTCCACTATAGAGAACAAGTACTAACAAGAGTACTACTAGTACTAGTAGAGATAGTTTGTAGTAATACTGCGGGTTGTAAAGTGAGTAAAGATTTTCTCGCGGGAGGAAACCTCAGGTGTTCCATCCATAAATTTAAATAATTTGAAAAGATGATAGATCGCAAAACCAAAACGAGAAGTGAACATCTTCCTAGAAGAAGATGTCGTTCGTCTCGATTTTCGCTCCCCAAAGTTTAACGAATCGTAAGGGGATGATGGTGAAGGGTTGGGGAAATAATTAAAGTCATATGGTGGCAGTTTGAACAAGAAGGTGCGCTAATAAATCGACCCTACCGAGGACAGTCTAAAAGAGAACTTCTAACGAATGGCCGTAATTGCGTCGCTTAATGCGCGAAATTGTAGCAAATTTGAATAAGGAAAGGATTTAAAGCGGAATGTACGTCCGGTGGGATATTTTCTCCGGGAGTATTTCGCTCATTAACTTTATTCCTGTAACAAAAGTATGTACGTCTGGTTTAAAACATGCAATCTCAACCAGAAACAAGACAATTTAAAATTTTGTCATGTTGTATAAAAGAAAACTCAAAGAAAAAATAACTTTTATTCACAGAAATACTAAACAAGCTCAAATTAAACATAATTTACTCGCAAAACTGGAATGTAAGTAATTACTCCCCCATCTAAAGTGGATGTAATTTAATCTTAACGTACCTTCTACACCATTTCTACACATGCAAACTCGTTTTACTTGATTAACGACTATTTTAAGAAGCACTTAACGAAAATGTTTTCTTATGGAGGATATCGAAAATGGAAGGGAACAAAACCAAGTAGCACATAACATAGCCGTAGGATGTATCACTAGATCTGATAAGAGGTAGATTTACATTTAAATTTGAACCTTGATAAATAGGTTTCGAGTGCTGGGGGCGAAGGCGTAAAGTATGAAACATTAGCGGGTCTCGCACATAATGAAAATGCAAATGACCATGCAAATGGCGCATTATGACGCCTCCACGATTTACGCGGTGTTTATTTACGTAAGGTAATAATGAGATTACATATACCACATAAAAAAAACTAACTAAATTGTCGCTCCATTTTTATTTACGATCCTTTTCCGCAATATCATTAATTAAATCCCATAAAACCTAAATGTTTTAACAATACTAATTCATTTTTATGGAGATGAAGCGAAAATAAAACTAATAAACGTAGAAAGGTATCTATCAATCGCATAACGTGTGTGTGTGTTTCGGATTTTAATTTAAAAAAAATTCTCGACGACAATCTCTAATTGAATCTCGCAAAAACCAAATTGAAATTCTCTTATATTGTTTTTTTTTTGCTATTGATAGTGTGTGTAGCGATCGGAAAACGGTGACGAACCCCGAGGCTATATTCTGTTTGTTACCCAACAGTCAGAGTATGTGATTAATTAAGTTGATGTAAGCGCGATACAGCCGATATTTGCAGGTATGCAATTTTCAGATTATTGAATACAAAGGGAAAAAATAACCTTTTTTTATTAAACTCTTTGTGAATTGTAGATGAAAGAAAATGGCTTTTATATAAAATACAGTCGAACCGTGCGTCTTCTCGTAGTTTCAATTGTTATGCAGCGCTAGACCAAGAACTAGAATCATTCTGGTTTAGCCGTCTTAAGAGACGTACGGCTGGATCTAGTGTTCGTTCTAGTTTTAATTGTTGTTCAGCGCTGACGTCACGAACGGGCCTTCGAGCTGTGCACTTGCTACTTAGCTACTTAGACTGAACGCAACGACGTAGATAGCTGTCCGAATTTGTGTGCATTAAAATTATTCGTTCAAACAGTTTAAAGTGTAAATAAAATATGTTGCATATAATGGACACTCCCTTCCCCGTATTAATCTGTTATATCGAGGTTTGACTGTACTTATATATTTATAATTATCCTATTTAACCAACTCCTCCACCAAAATTTAGAAAATCTTCTTCGTAAGTCGTGGAATCTCCGAAAACTTTTGAGTTTGAAAGATCCGGGTCAGAATGTTACTTTTAACTACATCTGCTGTCGGACGGAGAGACTATTTGATTAATATTCCAGACAGCAAGTCCAATTAACTAGAACAGCCTTTTTATGCAACTTTACTTACTATCGACCAACCGAAAGGTCAGCACAAATCTTTTTTTATTGTACCTACTTAATCTTTTCCTTTCCATTTGAACATTTCCGTTTCAGTTTTCGGTTTTCAATTTTTTTATGTTAATTAAAATTTTGCAACGGCGAGTTTATTTCGTTTAACTATCGAAATATCTCGTCCGTTTCGTACCCCGGCACAAAAACTAATTCCGCATTAATTGCGCGTGGTTACGTTTATTACGGCTTTGTCGACGATAGCTTGTAGCGTTACCTTCCCTCACGTAAGTGTAATAGGAAAATA